ATTCCTGAAAGCTGAATGGAAATTGCAGAGCCAATTTCATCATGTTATGATATTTATACTTTTATCAAAATTCTTGCATTTTAATGCTTGTTTGTGCACATTGGTTTTGAAATGAACTCAGTGATTTACATTTGAAATTGCTTTAATTTCACAAACAAGAAATACCTAAATTTTATAGGTTTATTTCTATCCATAGTAATCTGGCTATAAAGAAGATGTATTCAACATTTTAACGATATTCTATGTTAATTTTCAGATTGAAGGTTTATAACAAATGTGGAAGGATGTTCACTTCAGAGAAAGGAGTTGTGGAGGAATGGTTGTCAGAATTTAAGGTAATATTTATGATTTTAATATAATAATTATATTCCAAAGAAGTTTTGTCTGGAGTTTAAATTCCAGTTTCCTTTTTTTATATGACTGAAAAGCTAAATATCTGTGGAAGCAAAAGTTATGTTCCAACAAATCTTAATAGGGAATTATTTACACATAGTAATCTTTTCTGGAGATCAATTCCTTTTTTCTTCAAGTGGTTCAAAGAGTTTGTTTTCTCCCTTTCATGGCAACAACAGAAAGAATGGTGAAAGTCTCTGAATGTTGATGTAACTCTCTCCAACCACCATCAAAGATTCAGTGTTGAAATGTTTTTCTCAATTTATGTAATGGAAGTAGGCTTGATCGACAACGCAGAAAAGATGGGAAGATATTTATCCAATTTTCTACCAGTATATCTTTCTCTAGTTAGCTAACCCAGTGGCAATATATAAGGCATACATAACTTTTGGTTACTTGACAAAAATAAAACTTCTGTTTTCCTGTTTCATGAACTCTTCTACGATAGCTAAAATTGTGTTGCTTGAACAAGTTCTCCTTATCCTTTGGGTCTCATTGTTACACGTAATTATGTGAGCTTCATGATCATAGAATGAAAGGTTTGGGCTGCAATTGTCACCGTTTTGTTCAGCCCAATCAGCCCAAGTCCTTTAGAGACAAACATACAGTCTGACAAAGTCAGACTTTTTGGCTTATTTCAGTGAGGGAGGCTATACAGCGGGTATCATACAGGCACCTCGCCAAAGAAAAAGATAAAATTGTTATACAATTTTGAGGAAGGGTGAAGTTTAGATGAAATTTAAATGGAGCAGTATTTTGATGGACTCAGAACAAAGCAGAACTGAATGTGCATAGGGTCAAGAACTGGTCTCATTGCAGAGTAGACCCAGAGTCTTGTTGTCTTGGAAACTACAAAGTTAGCATCTATGTGGAACATTGTGTTCAGAAACCCCTTCTCTGAAACTCTGCACCTGGTCTGGAAATCAAGCCTGTTTCTCTGTGTCAAGGTGACTTAGATCCTCCAGGCAAGAGTGGGTGTTTCGTTTTACAGATATATTTTAAAACAGCAAAGTTTTTGATGTCTATGATTTTAGATAACAAGAATTCTCAGTGAGTAAGAATACAATAGTCACACACAAAAAAGAAGATTGTTATGACACTTTTCAGTTGCAGTGTGTCCTTGAGAGAAGCAAAGCTTCCCATTAATTTTGCAGCTGGTCTTATCTTTCACTGTTATCTCATCCTGATGAAGGAATGTCTGGGCACATTTTTACTTTGTCTGCTTTTATAGTCATAAATTGAGTATCCTTTGGAACTCCTAAGTCATCATAAAGTGATGTAGAATATTGTAAAAGTGCTCTATATAAAGTACCTTCTACATATTGTAATAGTTTGATTAAATCTTCTATGTGCTTTTTTTCTACATATGTTGTCTTTGTAAATGGGTATTCAAGATATTTTTAAGTCTTTTTCTGCTTTGAGAGTGTTTAGCTTTGTTCATTATATCATGATTTTTTTTTTTGGCAAGCTGATAAAAATTGTCAAATTTAACAACTGAGTACCACTTCTAGGGCATTCTTATGTTTAATGGTGAAATCGAATTTGCAAAACCAAATATAGCCAGTTACTTATTCTTTAATATGGGAGTTGTAGAAAAAGAGCATGTTAAAGGATGGGGTGTAGGGGAGGGGTCAACTGCCAAGGCAAATAATTGAAAACCATGACTTTTCCTTCCCATCTGTTTGTTTATGCCCTTCCCCTCCTGGCTTGGATATATAGATACCCTAGGAAGTGTAGCATCAAGGGGTAAGTGGGGGAGGGGGAGCAGGGAGAGGCAGAGGGCTGTGCAGCAGTAAGGACAGCAGTATGCCTTGTGTTTGAGGAAGTGGGTGGTTGGGGGTAAGGGTTGCATGGATGGCGTATAGAAGAGAAAACCAGAGTGGTTACAATGGTAAGTTGGTTACTTTGAGAAAAGAAGTAAATATAAAGAGGATAATGGGAGACAGATTTCTCTGTGTCTAAGAAAGGAATTAGAAACATAGAATAGGGAAAGGGGAGAAAGAACCCTAAAGTGTTAGACTGGAATTAGAAGAATCAGTATGAACTTATGGGTCTAAATATGTAAGTGATATATTTGCATATGTATATCCATATATTTATGCATACATGTATTTCCTAGCTTTGTTCACTAAGTGGACCAAGAAGCAATGGCACCCCAGTAGCAATGAGTACACCAAGCACACAGATCTTGTTTTCTAAATACCATCTTCCACTTACAGAAACTAAGATGTGAATAAACAAAGTATTATCTAAGTAATATTTTATCAATAAAACATGTATTATGTGAGTAGTGATATTGTATTGAAATTTTTATAAATTTAATTCAAGGGTAAGGAAACTTTTCTATTGGGAGGAGGGGAGTGAAATCCTGTACCCCATGAAATAAAAAGTAATTTAATTTAATTTTTTCCTAACCATGCAAGATTAAAATTACCCAATTTTCAATCAATTTGGTATAACAAATGTTTTAAATTATTGTCAAGTCTACATCATAGTCATTTAAAAAGGGAAACTATTTCCTAATCCTTGGTTAATTTGGTAAGCATTTCTGAAAATTATTTGCTCTGTTATTTTGAATTGTATTAATGTATGTTGAATTTAGCTCTGTTTCTGTTTGATAAAGAGATTAAGGTTATCATGTAAACAGCAGTATCTAAAGGTAACAGAAGATAGAAAAGTGCTTGAGAACAAACATCTTAAGTACTTTTTAAATTAGAGTGTCTTGTCTTTTGAAATATTTGTGATGTTCATTACATACTTTGGTTAAAATATTTAAGAAAGGAATTTTGAGGATATATCTATATATATTTAGAAAAAGCCTTTGTTTAGTTGTTTTATGTAATAACCGTGGTACTAATAAGGCCAAGGTCATCATGATTGGTAAAGTGGTCCAAAGTACATTGAGCTGAGAAGTGAGAAACCCTTTAATATAGTCATAATTCTTCTGTTAGATGGTTTTACGATATTGTACAAATTACATAACTTCATTGGGTCTCGGTATTCTCATAAGAAAAATTGAAGTAGGTGGTCTGTGAAGATGATTTTAGCCCTACACTGTTCTATGGTCACTATCTGAACTCCCAGCCTCATAACCTCACCCAACATGCTCTCAAATGCACAAAGACAACACAATTTGCTTTGTGCAAATCTCTCCCCCGACCTTTGGAAGAACTATTCAATATATCCTCTGGCTTTGGGCTCTTATTGTTAGTACTCTATATACCAACAAAATGATTAGACTGGGACTTTTTTATTTTAAAATTTCATAAATAGTTTGATTTCTAGCTTTTCAAAGATTTGTAATATATTTGTAACAATGCTATGTGTGGATTTAACTAGCATATTTCCAGACTCCTAATTTTTTTGATTTTCTGGTAGTCACTGAATTTCAATATGTGATTCAAAATCCAGTCTGATGTATAATATTGTTGAACAGAATTGTTTTATTTATTGGTTCTCCACCCATCTGTCCATCTTCATTAATTCTCTTCTACCCAACCCATATCACATCCTTACATTTTTTAAAAACCATCTGTCAAATGATACTTTAGTACGAAGCATCTGTCTTCAAATTTTGCCAAGACAATTTTCCAACATAATTTCCCATTATTACTTTTTTTTTTTTGTCTCCTGTTCTGCCTTCTGAAAAGTGAGACAGCTTAACTAGTATTTAAGAAGGCCAGTACCTTTGAACTAGTACAGTGCCGGAAAATTTAAAGGTTTGCTGTAACACTATTTAAATCATTAGGTTCTTTCACATCTTAAGTTTTTCAAAGCACTGATCATAAACACAGCAGTTATATTTTCTCCCTTTCTATAAACAAAGTAACTTTTCCCATTTACAGAATTAAAAAATTGCAGAATTATGATAAAATGTAGTAGTTCACTACACTAATTTTTTAGGAGATCTTTTCTTTCATTTAGCAGTAGTAGCCTAGGTCCAGGGTATTTTCTAGAGCTTACTTTTCAGAAAATAGCTAGTTGTCCTTTCGTCTTTATTTCACAGAAAATATTATATCTCATGAGAGTTAATTGGTACATAAACTAAAAATTGTAGTTCACATTTTAATCAATGTTCCATTTTTAGCCTAGATAGTATATATAATATTATAATAATCTTTCTACTCACTAATAATTTTTTAAAGGTTTATATTTCAATTCACTTAAGTTTAAAGTTTTATAGTTAGACACATGTATATACATAATATTTTACATATGTAATTCAGGTTCATTTCCATTCAGGGGATTAGAAATCTGCTGTTTATTTGACTATTATTTCCCTTTATATAAATTCCCCTAGTATTAGGTTACTTTTGGTCAAATAATGGAAATGGAATGTTGCCTGGAGATCTTTTGTTACATGCTTTTGAAATATTGAAGAATGCCCTAATCTCCTTTTTATGTAAGCAGTTGCAGTGAAACTACCCCCCACTCCGCCTCCAAGAATGGTAAAAGGTTCCCAGATAGTTCACATTTACTTACCACTCTGGTAAACAAAACTATCTTATTAAGTTTGAAAAAGAATCTATTCGCTTATATATCCTAAGGTGAAATGTGACCTAATTTTAAAGAATCTATTGAAGCATAAACAGTAACAGTGTATATTTCTTATTCTGTTCATCTATAATATACCCCTTCAGCAAAAGTTTGAGTATGAGGCCTTATGCTGAGTGATGTGAATGGAGAGACAATAAGATAGTTCTTGTTCTCAAGGAACTCAACAATAAAGTTAAAATGAATCAAATATCCTTATTATAAAAAATGCATGCTGCTTAATTTTCTGCATATAGTTATGCACACATATATCTGTGTACACTAACCATAATCCACTTTAAATCATGAAATGCTAGGATATGGAACATGTAAGAAATAGTGTATGTCTTGGAATGACTGTTACCAATATTTTGAGACATATCTACTGCAAGATTAACATCTGTTAATTGATTGACTGAAGGAAGTAATTTGCATAAGAAAGTATACTGACTTGGGAGACAGATGTTAAGGAAGGGGTATACTCTAGAAGGATAGGTTTTTATAATTTGTCATAATAAAATGTTTTGTTTTTGTTTTTGTCTTTTTTCAGATTTCCCTACTACTTTTACCCAAAAACGTTTGACTTACTACTGGAATTTTATCTCCTCCCATTCTCCTCTGGTCATGGTGTCCTTTCTGAATGAGTGGTGCTGGCAAGCTGTGATTAGTTGTCTATATATTTTAAATAGCATAAGGAAAACAAATTCGTTGGTAGTGTGGCTACTTTTTTCTCCATTTCTGAGGAGTCTAAAATTTTCCCCCAGTTCTATACAGAACAGCCTTACCTAAGAGTCACAATATGTAACTCAGAAGTTACTTTGATAATGATCCGTGGTGTTAAGGTTTGAAATATTATTAGATCTCTATATAATAATGTTCCTTAATAGAATATTTATTAAGAAGCAGGGTCAATAGGCTAATGAGATTTATAACTTATATAATGCTGCAGAAAATGTATCTCTGGCTTTATACATGGTTTATATTCTCATTTCTAACTCCAAACTGTGATCAATGATGAAGTTGATGTTAATTTATGTCCCTGTTGATGATAAGAGGATTAAATATATTTTTTGTTTTATTTTTGCAATTATTTTGTTGAGGTATAATTCACATAACATAAAATTCATTGTTTTAAGATGAAAATATAGTAGTTTTTAGTATATTCATGATGTTGTACAAGCAATACCAGCATCTAATTCTAGGACATTTCTATCACCCCCAAAGGAAACTCAATGCCTATTAGTCGCTCTTGACTCTCCCTTCCCCCAATCTCTGGCAACAGCTAATCTACTTTCTGTCTATGGATTTGCCTATTCTGGACATTTCATAAAAATAAAATGTATTCTTTTAAATTTGTCTAGACACTACCAGAAACATCTTTACAAAGTTATGCCACAAATTTGAAAGACAAGAGTTCTTTAGTTTCATCTCTCTATAAAGTTATCCAGGAGCCACAAAGTGAGGTAAGTACTTTTACAGTTTATTATACTAGTACAAGTTTTTACAGTTTTATTGTGAAATATATATATGGTGGTGAGAAAAATTCTGTGTTTAAAGAATTATATATTATGGAGTGTTTAACTGATTACCTTTGAGAAGTGGGGTGGAGAGGATAAGAGAAGACTACTTTATTTAAAAAAAATGGCAGAGTAAAAACAAAACTGTAATAAAATCAAATCCAGTGTACCATCCCCCAGGCCAAGAAATAGAATTATTAGCATATTCCAAAGCCATCTCTGAACATGTTTCTTTCTTTCTTTTCTTCTTTTTCTTTCTTTCTTTCTTTCTTTCTTTCTTTCTTTCTTTCTTTCTTTCTTTCTTTCTTTCTTTCTTTCTTTCTGTCTGTCTGTCTGTGTCTGTCTGTCTTGCTGGAGATAGCTTAGAAAAGTCTGGGTCACTACATTCATTTATTCATTCAGCAAATATATGTGTGCCCATTGTGAGCCAGCTGTGAGCCAAGGTAATAGAAAATCAAAGATGAATAACACATGGTCTCTATCCCCCCAAAAAGAAAGGGTCATAGAAAATAAGTAAACACATGCTTTCAAGGCAACGCTTAACTGAGTCTAGATGGATATGCATGAGTTTGCCAGATGTGCAAGATAAAAAGAACATTTGCGCCTTAAGGATAGTATATGGAGTCCTCAAAAAAGGCGCAAGGCATTTAAAGAATGGTGAGTAGTTTTGTCCAGCCGGTGCTTTCCCAGTCCTCTTTTTTTTCTCATGCCCCATCTCCTTTTCTATTTTTTTAGACACAAATTTAGTTTGAAGTAATAAAATTATCTATATTCCAGATTCTGGTGCTTACAAATCCCACAATTCATATAGAAATAGAAAAGCTTTGGAAATAGCATGGAAAATAAAGAGACATGGCATGTGGAACAAAGCAAGTAGGCTAATGCAGTAGTTAACAAGAGAGGATAAGACTGTGATAGGAACTGAAGCTGGAAAGATGGGTTTAGTTTGTGACCGTGGTGGGTCATGAAATCTATCATAAGCAGTTTAGACTTTTTTTGCACCGAAGGGATGACTTGATCAGGTTATTCTTTTAGGAAGGTGGCTATGTGAAGGATAGATTGGAGAATGGAAAAATTTGAAAACAAGAAGATTAGTAGGAAGGAGGTTATGAAAATAGCCTAGGAGGGAGCTGTTGAGAACTTGAACTAGGGAGTGTCAGTTGGAATAGGAAGAGGTAAAGTATAGGCGAGAAATATGAGGTATGTAATTTTGTTTTCGTACTTTAAGTTTGGTAGACTCTAACACAGGGGTAAAATAACTTATACTCTGGAGTCCAATTCTATATGGACCTATGTGCCTTTGAGATGAAACTATCAAAACTAGAGTCTTTTGTTATTTGAGTAGTTAACTTCTTTTAAGGGAGCCTTTTAAGCTTCTGCTGTATATGCTATAAAGTACATCATGAATTTTAGGTGCTGAAGAAAAGATTAGTGAGTATATCGACAAGCCAAAAATGTTAACTGGAATAACTAAATCGAACAATCACATTTTTCTTGTCTTTCCCACCTCCCTCCAAAGCTTCTTAACTTGTGTAGTATGTATAGGTGCATTGTTTTCTTGAAGGGTTTTTAGTTTTTTGTGTTTGGGTAGAAGCTATTTTAAAGATTTCTATGTTTAAGTGAGAATTACTTCACCAAAACAGACTTAATAGCTGTGTGCTTTAAAGAATTTTTTTTTTTTTTTTTTTATCGTTTCATGCTTAGTATTTTTGAAAGACTTAAAAATTATTCCTCTGATGAAGTGTATTTTAACCAGGCTACTTTGAATAGAGTCTGTGAGGTAAATTTCTTATGGGCTAGTTTGGTTCACAGCATTTCTTTTATTCAGATTAATAGTGAATACAGCTCTAATGGTTCATGGCAATATTTCTCAAACACAAATTTCTCCACACATATGTAATAACCCCTAAATGAACTATCTCCTGTTCAGTAAGTGCTGATCTCCCACTTGGATGTGGTAACAGTTTGTGGATGGTCTTCAGTCCATGGACCACACATTTACAAGCACTGGTTTAGGATGTTTTGCACATAAGTTTGTTTTATGTTTTTTTGCCTGATTCATGTAGTGAAGACAGTATGTATTCTGTATTCTTAAAAGGCAACTCAATCTTTAAAAATCCATTTAGAAGTACTTCTAAAATATAACAGTATAATTTACTTTTACGTCACAACCTTTTTATTCTTTAGAATATTTTGTTTCTTAATTTGGAGATATTCTAAAAGAGTTGTTATTGTCTTTTGGCATTTTTGAAATCTGAGACATTGGTCCTGGTATTACTTGAAGTCTGGCAAATTTGGTATTTGGATTCTACTAATAGTACTTTTTCATTATTCAGTTTAATTCACTTAATAAATATTTGTTGAACCCATATAACATGCCAAAAATCACTTTGAAATATAGCAGTAGACAAAAGAGACTAAATTCTTGATCTCATAGATTAGAATTTGTATGCTGGTAGGTGAGATAGATATTAAACAAATATCTAAATGTAAAATATAATGTCATTTAGTGACAAAACTAGGAAGATAAATGAAGTGGAGTAGGAGGAGTTCGTGTTGGGACTGAGGAGGTGATGGTTGAATCAAGGTCTGAATGAGTCGGAGGGAGAATTAGAGGGCAAGAACATTCCAGGAGAAGGAACAGAAAGTGCAAAGGCCCTGAGATAGGTATGTGTGGTGTGTTCAAGAGACTCTAAAGAGGCAGTTTATGGTACAATGTGGTTTTCTTGACTGGTGTTTTTAACTGACTTTAACTTTACGATAGGTATATAATTAGAGGCTAACGGTGCTTAAGTCTGCCAGGAAAACAGCTGTCTTTTGAAAGAGCCACATAAAGTCTCTTTGGTGTCCTAGACATAGAGAACCAAGAGTGAAGGGAGGGTCAGTTCAATGGCAACTGGCATTTGAATAGTAGTGTCCTTCCAATTTTTAAAATCTGTATCCTACCTGTATTCCTCAGTAACTGTTCAATGCATAAATAAATAAATAAATAAATGGATAGATAAATAAATAAATAAATAAAAATTAAAGTAAAAAAAAAATTGCAAGATTTTCTTTTAATTTACCAAACTTAACTGTTTCCCATCTTTTATTCCTGCTTTAGTCATTCAAAGGCATTTTAAAGTCACATTTCTATTACTATTACAAATCTCTCTTAGGATACAGAAGTCTTACGAATGGATTGTTGTAAAAGTTCGGTTGTAACTTAGTTGCTTTAGAATGCAGAATGTATTTTAAAATGGAAAGAAGGTACATGTTGATTAGGGTCTCAATGACCCATAAGAAAACCTGTTTAACACATGGAAATATACTTGAGGTGCAGTTCTCTCTTAATAGTAATATATAACCTACTTTCCAAACATAACAATGTTTCCATGAGGAAATACATTCAAAAATTCAAACCAGACACCAGGAATACAGCACATCTTAATGCTGCATTGCTGGTCTCAAATATAGGTAAGTTAGATAAGTGAGACACCACTTGTATTTTCCACATTATATATCATTTTATTCTTTGACGTTTTTCATGTGTGCTTATAATCGAGTCAAAAATCTTGGCTCAAGTTCTGACCTTTGTGAGCTGTGTGATTTTGGTCAAAGTAGCCTCTGTCTCAATTTTCTTATGTAGAAAGTATGCATAATGATATTCTACACTACAATGTTGTAAAAATTGAATGGGTTCACTTGTGTGAAAGCATTTTGCAAGGTGTAAAACACTGCACAGATATTGGTGTTTACCTCTGTTGGTTTGATATGCATAATTAATCTAATCTTATAACATAAAGTTCTACATCCCCTTTGAATCTGTCTTCATTTGGTTCTGCTTTCATAAAGCAAAAACCCTTTTAATTTTGGATTTTAAACCAGTTATAAGGCCTTTTGAACATTGATTATGTGTTTATGCAGACTATTGAATAAATTTTCAATGTAAGGTTTCATAATTTTGCAGATACTCATTAGACTACATCAATGGGTTTAATTAAAGCTTTCCCAGGTATTTAGAGATGAGGGATCTCACAGTATGAGATTATTGATACTGTTCCACAAAGAAATTTTAAAAACTCCACCTGTAAGCTAAATATCCCCCTACCATTTTTTCTTTGTTCCTACCACCCTAACCCCATTCTTTCAGATTCTACCCTAAAAACTTTTCTTACTGTCTATGTATGTATGGGGTTACCTCTGGCCCTCCAGTTTCCTGTTACCTTTGTCATGCTACAGTGAATACCTGTTACCCTCTAATGACCATTTTGAGAAACAAAAGGTATTCCTTAACTGTCAGAAATTAGATAATTTTTCAATAAGACTAGTTTGACTTAGTCAGTGTTTATGGAAGTGTAATTTTTGCTATACCTTATGGAAATGACTTTAATTACATCCAGTTTACTTTATATACCTGTTTGGAACCAAAACATCCACTGTAAATTAGTTTCTGTTCATTATAATTATTGATAGTAGAAAATCTGTTTAATAAGTTGACTTAAATCTGTTGCCTGAATTAGAAAAGTGAATGAACGGTATAATTCATTGAAAATACAGTAGCCTGATAGTTTAAATCTCTTGACAGTTGTATATGACTTGTGTATGATCAGTCATATACTTTAAGATAATACTTACCTGTAAGGATCCTTTATCTTGAGTTTCTGATTTAAAAAAAGATGTCTATTATGAAGATAGTCAGCTTTATTAACTGGATAATGTTGGGAGTGTGGTGGGAGAGGAAAGGTTATAGATAACTCCAAATCATTTTTAAAACAAAATGACAGCGATGTTTAGATTATGCAGTGGCAATTAACCATGGTTACAATAGAGATCTAGATCTAAGGGCTCTATAATTATTCAGCTACTCACACAACAGTCATTGCTGTCAGATGCAGGAGGTGACATAAGCTCCAGAGGTGACAGTAACTACCTAGAATTCCTATTTCAATTTCTCCAGCCCAGTAGCCAATCATTTAATATTGGCATCTTTTATCAGAATAAAGGGATATTAAGGAAGAAATGTCTTACAGCTTAAGTGTTTTAAGAAGTTAAAAAGATATGGTTTTGATAATAATACTACTGTAAGATTATAGAATATTTTAAAGTTTACAAAGTGCTTCCGAATATACTTGTTTTGCACTGTTTGCCCTTCCACTAGAGTTTGAAGTTTTACTCAATAGCTAAACAGTAAATAGTTTTGCTTCCAAAAAATGGAAACATTTATATATTTCAGTAATTAGCAATCAGGGAAAACTTTTGTATATCATATATCAGTGTCATTCAAATACAGTCCAGCCTTCGAATTAACATTTTATCTTTCTTCCAGTTGTTAGAACCTGTCTGTCACCAGCTCTTTGAATTCTATCGCAGTGGAGAGGAGCAATTACTGCGATTTACACTGCAGTTTCTTCCGGAACTGATTTGGTGCTACCTTGCAGTCTCAGCCAGCAGAAATGTGCATAGCAGTGGATGCATCGAAGCTCTTCTTCTAGGGGTTTACAATTTGGTTTGTATTTAACGTAGTTAACAAAATGTTTCCTGGCAAAAGCAAATATGTAACCTTTTCAGTAAAAGCAAATATATAATAGCAACTACTTTTCATTTTAGTAAAGCTAGTATTTGTTTTTTATCCATCAAATGACTCATAGCTCATTCTTCTAAAGATAACTTTATGGAGATTGAGGGCTATACAAGCATACATATAATTATGTAAATAAACTTTTTTGGATTGACTGAAGACTGGAAATCAGATCATTTCAATTCTTTTATACATGTATCTGAAAATACCATTGTTGAATTTAAAATTTTTTAAACTTAAAATCCATTGTCTATAAATTGTTTGTTTGTGAACTTCACAAAAATTTAGAAGAATTTAGTTTAACATCTACCATTAATAATTCTATAAAATCTGGACTGTTTCCAGGACTCACACCAGTTAACATATAGTTTGCATTACTAATAGTGTACGTATATTAATTAGTATAATATTCTATATACTTAAGGTTTGTACTTTTTAAAATGGAAAAGAAGTTTAAGAGCCTTTTCTTGACATATTTTATAACTGTGTTAATTGATTAAGAAAATGTAACTTTTTATGTGAGAAAAATTAATGATTATTAAGACATTACATCTATATTTCAGCCATCCTTTAAAACTATATGTTACTTATATTTGAAAAATGGAAGGTGAACTCCGGGTATTTATGAATAACCAACAATGGATTATCATAATTTAAGATTTTAGTTGATTTTAAAATTTTTTTCAGGTCTTTTTTTAGACTAACAACTTAAATTAAGCTTTTAAATTTGTGTGTAAAAAATAAATATTTTAAGATTTTTTTTCACTTTTGTAGGAAATAGTTGACAAACAGGGACATAGCAAAGTACTGAGTTTTACGATTCCATCTTTATCCAAACCATCTGTATATCATGAAGTAAGTGACATTGTATCAAAATAAATTTATTTTCTCTAAGATTTGAAGTAGCTATAAGTTAATGTCTGGTTATTGAGGCAAAATTTTTTTATCAGTTTATTAGTATTTTAAAAAGTATAAAACCTGCAAAGTATTTGCTATTCTCAAAGTGAAATAAGAAATCAAAATCATTAAACTTTCAACCAAAATCTAATTGTAAGAGATCTATTGAAAGTATTCATTTTGAAGTATTTTTCTCTCCTTCTGATGGATAAGACTAGTCTATTTTTTTTATAGCATTTATGTATTTTCATGGTAGAATTTTTGAAGTTAAGCTATTTTATATTTGTGGTTTATATGTTATTTATTATATCTTTGAGCAGAAAATTTAGTAGTTAGTATGAATATTTTTAAGATATATGATGTTCATGGCAATCATTCTTAGTGGTGTATGTATTCTAAATATCACATTTTCAACAGAATGTTCATTTTCCTTCTTTATTCAAATGTCTTTTCTTTAGCCTTCCAGCATTGGGTCTATGGCTCTGACCGAGAGTGCACTATCCCAGCATGGTTTGTCAAAAGTAGTGTACAGTGGACCACACCCCCAAAGAGAGATGCTGACAGCACAGAATAGGTATACTGTGGAGACATAATTTACTATCCTACCGCACTGCTTAAAAAAAAAAAAAAATTATTTCAGTAGATTTATAAGTAATGTTTAATGAGTTGTATGTAACATTTTAAAAATATTGAGTCATTTATACAAGAGAAAAACACATCTTCCCAATTTGTCACATACTTTAGATGTCATCTGGAACATCGAATTTTTAAGATAATTTTCATATGACTTGGAAAGTCTCTTTCCTTTTTTAGCTTTGTATTGTTATTGTTGTGATTATTTTGTATAGGTCTGTTCTATAACATAATATTTCTTTCCAATGCCTGCTTAACTTAATTATTGTTGACTTCTTAAAATTCTAAAGATTTGTAAATATTCTTTTGGTTTATTTTTAGGTTTGAAGTGTTGACATTCCTTTTGTTGTGCTATAATGCTACCTTAACCTATATGCCCAGTGTTTCTCTTCAATCACTGTGTCAAATTTGTTCAAGGTAAATGTTTTTAATTTTGAAATATATGCATCTAGGATTGCTAGTTTGTTACATATCTAAGTTATTTTTGTTTGGTTTAATGATTTGTTTACATTAAATAAGTTAATATGAAGCTGAGCCTAGTCAATACATAGAAAGCTACCTGTAAATGACAGTTATAAAAAAAAACAATGAAGAGGGTCAAGCTGAATAGCATTTCAATAGAATATTGAAGTAGACAAGGATCATACTATATAATTAAAAGGATGGAACTGTTACGACCTTTCAGTTTTTAGTATGTGGTTAGTTGCTGTATTGTTTGCTTTTTAAAAAATTATTATTCATTTTTATTGTGTTCTAATTTGGCACCAAGAAATAGAGATACTGGTTTTTAAATTTGTTAAAAAAAAATTGAGCCAAGAGGTTGGTTAAATTATGATAGTCCTAAGGTATATTATGCAAACATTTAAAATTTTTGATTTAAAAGAGTATTTAATGATAGAATATATGTGGTGTGATTCCAGCATTGACTGAATATGACCAGAATATTTATGTCTAATTAATAGGATTATGGTTTATTTAAATTTTTTCCTGTGTGATTTTCTCTCCTGTAAATTTTCTATGATGATCATGTTACCTTTTTAAAAAACAAAAACAAAAGAAAACAAAAAAAGACACAGAAAAAGCCTTTGATAAGTCAGGTAAATAAGGGAAAATATAGAATTAAGGAACTTATAGAATAATTTAGATTTGGGGAAGTTATTTAGAAAATGCAACTTCGAAAGGTTAGTAAGAAGGAGGGTAGGTAGAGCAATATTTAGAAATCAAATGAAATCAAAACAAAAAAGCAGAAATTGATACTGAATAGGATAGAAAACCATGCAGGACCAGAGGGAGAAGGGAGATAATGAGGCAAGGCGCTTGTAGAGTCTTGCAGATGATTCCTGAATTAGAGCATAATTACATTTCCTACACCTTGGAAAATGATAGCAATGTGCCGTCTCTCCCACTTACTGAGTCTTTGCAATATGTCCATTTTAAGTTGTTTAAAGTCAGAGGTGCCCAGACTTTTAAATTTCTTTAGATCTAAAGCTAGAATGAGTGGGGCATCTACATAGCGTTGCCAGCTTTTTGCTTTGCCAAGTCATTATATTGTAAATATCTACCTTCAACATTACTTTTTAAAAAAGAGACTATTTTAACATCAAAAAAAGAGAAGAATGGAAGAGAAAGACAATAATTTATAAATTAAAAATGCGATGTTTAGCTTTCTTTGTTTCTCATTTCACTAAGGTCCAGTGAAAACTTTGTTATGTACTAAAATGAGAATAAGGACTAACATTTCAGAAATATAGGTTTAAGGAGTAACTTGATGCAGCAACTATCACCTGTTGAACCTAAAACACACTACAAAAGCCCAGGTCCTACTCTGAAGCAGTGTCTTAGACAGAGGACCCAGGAATGTGTGTATATATATATATATATAGTTGTAATACATTCAGATGTTCTAATACAACCTCCTAAATAAGAGCCACTTTTGATGTTTCCTGAAACTGCTGATGGAAAACTTAGAAAAGAACATGTGTCACTGGCTTCTGTCCTGTGTAATTCCAATACACTGCCTGCCCTCTAATATAATTACTTTTACTTTGTGGGTAGAAAATTGCTAATATACCAATTTTGCCTAACCAGAGAACTGGATAATCCTTTAAGAACACAAGTAAAAGCTAGAGCTAGTTTTAAAAACAAAGAGAAACATACATTATTTAAAAACTAGCTGTAGGTATTTTGGCCAAGGAAGATTTTAGTATAAACATATTAGATTAATTTGATACCACAAGAAAAACCGATTCTTTATAAATGTTCATTATCTCTAAGAAAACAAGGGAGGAAAGAGATCTAATAATTCAAAAGACTTAAGCTTTAAGTAATGCTAACCCTTAAGCCACAGAACATGATATAAGACGAACTCCATCAAATTTGTCATTCCCATTTTTTTTAGTTTTTTTTTAGATTCCCTATTACAATATTCTCAATGGTTTAAAATCTATTCATTTCTCTTAACTTGTGGTTCCCTTGTTTATCAAATAGTCTAATTAAGATTTTCTGTACCTTTTAAAAATGAATAGAAAAGAATTAGAAAGCACTTGTATCTAATCAAGCAAAGCTTTGTCCATATCTACGGATAGAAACTGGTTACAGAACTGATCTGTGGTGATAAGTCTGTTAAAAATAGTTCTGATAGTTAGAGTATAGGACTTCCTGATGACCTTAGTCCTAGTGCAGGATTTCCTGAAGAATAAAGTAATCTCGCTGTATTATGACTAATTCCATCCTTTTGGCCATGTAGCATTAGTTTTAGATTGCAGCTCAACTTGGTTGTTGATGATTATGCCAGAATGATTGCCTGGGTCATCTAGGAGGAAAGGCATGTAAATATAACCAGAAAAATTTATGGAATATCTGAGCTAGATCCAGTGACAAATGTGTCCCATTCTTTTTTTAACCTTAAGATTATAATGAATTGTGGAAGTTATTAAAATAATTTTGGACACTTCCCACCCTCTACCCCTACATACAAATCCATTCTACTGAGCAAAAATCTGTTCAGCTACCATGAGCTTTGCTTTCCTGATTCAGATTGAGGGCCAATTTGATGGCCTGTGTTTTCCTCCTACAGAGTGCGCGTGGCCCACTTGGAGAGGAGGTCTGAAAGGAGGCAAGAGCTAGACTGAATGAGTTTTAGCCAAGAAGTTTTTCTGCTAGTATTAAACATTGTATATGGCCTTCCTAAAAGGAATATACCCACCAATACTACAAATAAGTTTTGCTAGTATATATCAAAGCCCTTTAAATTTGGAGAAGTATTTTAATGTGGAATATAGTAAAGACGAAACTGTACTAAGCTAGTATGTTAAATTATCTCCCATTGTGTTCACCTGGTGAGTCACTCTGCTGACTGACTTGGATATGTATTGCTGTGGATTCTTGATCAGGGTATTTCTTCCTGTGTATCGATAATGAAACCTTACCTCTCTCCTAATTCTTAAATCAGTCGTCCTGACTACCTAAACAGATTTCTTCTTGGTTTTTTTTTTTTTGTCCATTAAGGGCATCTTTGTGCAAATAAACCATTCTATGGATTAATTCTCATGACTGATAAAATTATATGTATATCACATATATCACTTAACACAGTGAGTGTGTGCCACTTTGTTATCATTCAATAAATAACGGTTATTATTAATTGTACTCCAATGATGAACCCATGTTAACTATGAATGTATAGCATCTCTTTCTTTTTTCTTACCTGTATGCTGTTGCCAACAGTTGTTACCAACAATAATATTACCTTTTATATCTTATAATAGGTAATTCTTTGTTGAAGGAGCCTATAGTTGACTTTTCGTCGCTTATTATTTTATTTGCAAACTTCTTTTGCCTATCTAAATCTTCTTCATCCTTCACAATCCAATTAAAATAATCTTTTCTCCAACAACTCGAGCACTGTGTTTGCATGTAGAAAGTGATAGAAAACACAGCCTTTATTAGGCTCCCAATTTCAAAAATCAGAAGCATGAGAACAGAAAAGTGCTCATTACTGTATAGACAATTTTTCCATTTTCTCTTTTCTCCTTTTTCTCTTTTACTTTCCCTTTTTATGTTCTCCTGGCCTTCTCCTCACTACTTAAAAAACAGAGCGGAAAAAGGTCTTGAAATTGGTTAGTTTTGTTTCATCATCTGTATCTTTTATCCAGATTGATAGAAAGTAGAACTGGGCTAAATTTTAAATATTTCTCAAATTAAAAATTAGAAAAACAGTTGTTTCCATTTTTCCGACTAGTTTCTATTCACTGATCTGATGATCTTAAGATAGTAGTTAATCTACTTTCTTTTCTACTTTGAATTCTGGTATATACATGAATAAATATTCTCTTCAGTGAGTCTCAATGGAATCGGGCCTTCAAATCATTTTGTGGTTTAAACGCAGAGTTTATTGACAACAGTCTCAAAAGTTTACTTTCAGTCTAAGAATGAGACATTGTTTCTCAATAGAGAATGAGAATTAGGGCAAGAGTTTTCCTCACTTACAAATTGATACTTAGAACCTCTCCCAGAAATGTATTAACAAAATATGCCTTCCAAAGGGATTTTTCTGTTAACATGGTTTATGATTTTGGGAGAGATCTATGTGACCATAAAGTAAATTTAAAATAGAAATAAGAGTTATGCTACTCAGCTGCTCTTTTGTAAGGTTAGGTCCTTATGTTTTGGATTTGTGAAAGGAAATCAGTTAACTTCAGAGTATTCCTGTGATGAACAGAGGAATCAGGCATTCATGTGATAGGTAGCTTTATTGATTGTTTTTGTTTTGTTCTGCATTTTATTTAAATTCAGTGAAGGATCTATGAGAAAAGAATATCCTTGAAAAGAGTGATCAGAGAACTGAGGAGTGAACCAGAGAATTCTTAATTATTAAAAGAAAAGAATGGAGAAAAGAGGGTAAAGAGATACATTATTAGTTAATAATGTAGCTGGATAGGACTAGATTATTTTAGGTCTCAGCTCAAATATTACCTCCTAGGAGAGGCCTCCCATGACCATCTTTTCTAAAGTAGCAGCTTCTCATCCCAGTTTATTACCTTTTAGCACTTAAAACACTGTCATTACCTTGTTTGTTCATCTAGTATAAATCTGTCAACTGCTGGAACTTCATGAGGTGAGAACTTGGATGTTTTGTTTACTGCTGTATCCTCAGAGTTTAGAGAAGTACATGGCATACAGTAGAAACTATTTGTTGAATGAATGAGTGATAGATGATCTCGTTCACTTCAGATTTATGATACATTAAATACAATTATGATTAAAGGAAATAATTTGGTTTTTACTTTTAAAATATTTTTTAGTGATAAATGCAAAATTCCTACACTCTATTACTACAGTTTGGGTAAAGTTTTAGTAGTTACAAAAAAACTAACTTCTATGGTCTGAATGTTTGTGTCCCCCTAAAATTCATATATTGAAATCCTAATGCCCAATGCAATGGTGTTAGGAGGTAGGGCCTTTGAGTGGTGCTTAGGTCCTGAGGGTGGAGCCTTCATGAATGGGATCACTGTGTTCTTAGCCAGGAGGCTTTCTTGCCCCTTCTGCCATGCGAAGATATAGCAAGAAGTCTGTAGCCCTGAAGGGGGAGGTCCCTCATCTGACCATAATGGCACCCTGATCTTGTGCTTCCAACCTCCAGAACTGTGAGAAATAAGTTCCTGTTGTTTTGAAGCTACCCAATCTGTCATATTTTGTTACAGCAGCCTGAACAGACTAAGACACTAATCCTTTGCATTTCTGAATAAAGGTTTTAGTTCAGCCTCTTATAGAAGACTGCTGATTTCCTTATGGGTAGCTAGTAGAGAAAATGAGAGAATCTGGAATCTTATTTCCCTTGTGAATCTTTCAACTGTGTTGATGTTTGCTAGAATTGTTTCTCTAGTTCTCACCCAAAGTAAATTTAAAAGTTGGATTGACCATGCTAGAGCTGTGGCAAAATTGTTTTAAAAATTGTATAATAACATCAATAACTTATTTTTCTGACCATATCCTCTTTCCTGAACCCTATACTTTTCTGATTTCTAAACCTGTATATTCAAATCCAGTAACCATCTCTATCAGGGTGTCCCACAGATACCTTATTGGGTTAGAACTCTTTCTGTTGCAACTAACTGATATCTACATAAAACGTGGTTATATAAGAGGGGAAACTTTTTGGCCCTTTGTACCTGGGAAGAGCAGTGATGCAACTGGCTTCAGAGTCAACTGGATCCAGAGGGTCAAGCATTATCAGGATATTCTCTCCCATCTCTCTCATCTCATTCTTCATCTGTTGGCATTGTACTTTCTTTCTGAAGATAGGCTTTTTCCATTTGGTAAGCTCAGTGATTATAGGCAGCTAAAAGCTTATGTTGCCGACTTTTAGTGAATTCAGAAGAAAGAACATCTCCCCTAGCTTCACTATGAAAAACAATCCAGCAAAAGGCCTCAGGCTTCTTCTACAGGCCCCTCTTGAGCCATGTTGGGTAGGAAGAGTACTTTATCAGTTTAAATATTGGTTTGGCTGTTTTAACAGATAAATAATGGTAACAAAGTAGATATTTATTTTTCTTTCACATAAAAGTGCAAGCTGGTAGGTTGACTATGTTTCTAGTGTTCAGGCTCCTTTCTTGCAATTCTGCCATTCCCTAGGATATTGCTCTTACTTGTGTAGTGATAGTTTGCTACTGTTCCATCCACCTTCTATCCTGCAAGCAGGGAGAGAGGGTGAAAGGCATGCAAATGCTTTTTAAGGATCCAACCTAAAATTTGCACCACTTTAGTTAACAGACCATTGTCCAGAACTAGTCACATGGTGACACTTAGATGCAAGGAAGGCTAGAAAATATGATCTCTAGCAGGTGGCCATTGTTCCAGCCAAAACTGTTTGGGGGAGATAGAGGGGAACGTACCTTAAATATAGTATTAAAGAAAAAAGGGAAAAATAAATATTTGGGTAGCAATCTCTTGTCACAGGTAATTTTATTGGCAGCCTTACTATAATCATGTGATTATACTTGATTATATAGGGGAAGACTAATTCCTAAAGATAAGAAGGATAGAAGTGCTATTAATGGAAGACATTGGAGTTGGTGGGAGAGGACATGGTAGACAAAAGTTACATCTGTACCCTGTACCCAAAAGTCAACATATCTGAAATTTAGTGTCTTTCAAAACAGTATGTCTTATTTGTTCAAATTCATTTACTGTCACTACCATCCACACAGCTATCTAAACTAATATAGGAATAATTACGCGCTCTTCTTAGTCTTTTAGTTCCCCCAACCCCCGCTGATTTTACTTAAATGTGACTCTAGTCCCACCCTTCTTCCTTCTCCCCACAATTACTTCCTTAGTTTGGCTCCCTTCATCTCACTCATGGAATATTTTGACATTCTCCAGTTTCAATGAACTCTTCCAGTATGGCCTGAGTGATATAATCAAAAGACCAATCTGATCATGTCATTCCCTTGCTTAAAACGACAAAGTAATAACCTTTAGCTTCTTCTCATGGCCTACTTGATAAAGTGTAGCAGATTGAAAGATGCTCCATGATCTGACTTCTAGCTAGCTTCTCTGTTATTTTCTAGTGTCCTAGCATTCTGTCCTACTAAAATTTCCCGTCTCTTCGATGTTACACTATTTCATCCCTCTATGCTTTTGCCCTTTCCTATATTTTCACTTATTCTTCAAGGCTCAGTTCAAAGGAATTTCTTTCTGGGAAGCCTTCTCTGACCCTCTACTTCTTCCACTAGAGTTTACCACTCTCCTTTTATTAATCCTATAACTTGTTCATTACAAATTTTAGTTCACTAGACAGTCTCTGTGATTAGATTGTGAGTCCCTTTGGGAACTGTATCTTCCATCTATATCCCTAGTGTCTCACACAATATAAATCTTTACTAAGTATTTATAGAATGAATAAATAAATTGAAAAGTCCTATCTTTCATATATTAGTTCTCTATCATTTCTTTCATAAGGATGTAAGGTGTAAGAAAATTAAAGGGTTCTAAATTTGTTTTAGATAATAAGGGTAAGAGGAGTCTCCATTCTAGTTTGTATATAAGTTTTTATAATAACAAAGAAAACTTGAGTTGGTTTTATTTCATGTACAGCTAATTTTTCAGTTTCTGTCTTAGTCATCTCAGGCTGCTATAACAAAGTACTGTAGACCAGGTGTCTCAAATGATAGACATTTGTTTCTTACAGTTGTGTCATCTGGGAAATCCAAGGTCAAGGTGCCAGCAGATTCAGCTCCTGGTGAAGGCCATCTTCCTGGCTTGTAGGCTACCACCTTTTCACTGTGCCTTCACATGGCAGAGATCAACCTCTGGTCTCTCTATTCTTCTTCTTATAAGAACACTAATCCCATTGCGGGGGCCAGTCTCATGATCTCATCAAAATGTAGTTACTTCCAAGGGCCCCACATCCAAATATTATCATATTGGGGAATTAGGGCTTCAACATGAATTAGAGGGGGCATGAATATCCAGTCCATAAGTATCCCTGTTCCCTTTTATTTTTGGTTCTAAAGAGTTCTAAGATCCTCTCAATATCAAATAAATTTATATTTACTCTTTAAAGTTGCTTTGAATTAATGATATCTTCAGGAGGATATTTTCAAAATGGTCTGTGGTATACTTGGGCATGTCTAAGTAAAAACTTAGATTCCCTGAGTAGAGGAAATATTAAGTTCTAGATGGTAATTGCATGGGGTGGGGGAGGGGAGAGGCAAATAATTACAGTTTATTGACTAGTATTATATTAAGTAAAGGTTGTATTTTATCAGCCATAACATATTATGAAAAAATAGCTATTTTCCTGTTTTATTAAAAATAGAAACTTACTGTTTATTTTAAAAGCACTGCATGTTGATCATAGAAAATTTAGAAAACACAAATAAATATAAAGAAGAAAATAAGTTATAATCCTACAGCTCAGAGATAATCTATGACTTTGTGTATGATCTTTTCACAGTGACTCATGCTGTTACCTCTTTGTTTATTATAAAATGGAATTAGGCTACATGTGTTATTTTGTACAGTTTTTTCCCCTGTCATTTAAATAGACTTTCAAAATATCATGTTTACTTGTTTTATAGTATTCTCCGAATGATTTATATAATTGATCCCCTGTGTTGTACTTTAGGTGGTTTCCTGTTCATTATAATAAATATTTCTTAGCTTTAGCACTCCTTAAATATCTTCACTATAATAAATACTTCTTTATATTTCAATTTTTATGGTAGTTTCTTTTTAAAAATTTAATAAAAATCTGTTGATCTTTTAAGATTCTACCTTTGTGTCATGTTTAGGCATTCAAAGAATATATAACAATTTGCTTATGTTTTATTTCTCATGGTTTTTTAACATGTAAAATTTTGGTCTATCTGAAGTTCATTAAAGGGTCTCATTTAAGAGTATTTTTTTTTTTTTGAGCCTGTAGTTTGTGTCAAGATCTTTGTCAGGAATAGAGGATTGTACCACAGACCTATTTATGATGAATAGTGCTAAGTTCCATGTAATAGATTTCATGGTGACCAAAAATTATTAATAATTGATAAAATTAGTGAATCAACTCTGAGAATCTGGTTCACTAATTATATATTAACATACCTCTTGCTTTATACATTTTTTTTTTCCAGTTAAACTTGCTAAGGACAATGTTACAGACAGATGTTCTGTTTGGAAAGATTCTTTGTTTCATAGCTATTGGTTTGTTATGAGAACATTCCTGGTACACTGTTGGCTTACGAATGTTAAAAGACAAATTACTTAAATTTTTAACAATCTTAAAAATATATTTATTTTGGTCTTTCTAGAATCTGTGTTTGTGGATATCCCCGACAACATGTACGAAAATACAAAGGTGTAAGTAGCAGGATACCAGTTTCTTCAGGATTCATGGTGCAGATGTTAACAGGAATTTATTTTGCCTTGTAAGTTTATTTCATATACAAAGTAAATCTGATCTGTTTGGAACATTATAGTCTGTTATTTTATTGTTACTAAATTATAATCTCAGTAGATATACAATTAGCATATTTTTGTGAAAGAATATCAGTCAAGATCTTGATAACAGTTTTATTATTTCCAACATATCTTTTAATGTTCTAAAGAATTTGTATCCAAATAAACCACTTCATCATTTTTTTAAAATTTAAAGACAGAATGAAAATTTGCAACATCTAAATATATTCAGTTTCTTTCTTAATTACTCATTTTTTTTTTTTTTGGCTGTAATTTCCAAATAGTTTTTTCCCCACAATGAGTATCTTTTTCCATTTCCAGAAATTTTAACTCTTGAAAAACATCTTAAGCCTCTTTGATCATAAATAATTTATTTTTAATTTACTGTTAATTACTAATATTGATGCTAGTCTTAATGCCTTAGATACTAGTATTTTCCTTTGAACCCTGTTTTTTCCTTTGTAATTCTCTTATTATACATATTTTACTATACTTTGCATTGTATTCAGTCGATACTTTTAATTTTCCCTAGTAGATTATAAACTTCTTCACTGAAGGTAGGATTTGTGATCTTTGGGCCAAATCTGGCCTGCTGCTTGTTTTTTTAGAAATATTTATTGAAACATAGTCACATCCATTTGTTTACATATTGTTAATGGATGCTTTTGTGCTATAGTGACAAAGTTGAGTAGTTGCAATAGAGACCCTATGGCCTACAAGCCAAAAATACTTATTATCTAGCCCTTTAAGAAAAAGTTTGTTGACTTCTGTGTTAGACCATTAATATTGTCCCACAGTCTTGGATCCTGTGTTCTATTTTATTTTCTCTTTTTTTGCTTTGTGTTTCAGATTGAGTAATTTCCGTTTACCTGCCTTCACATTCATTGATTCTTTCCTTCACTAGGTTGAGTCTACTAATGAGCCCACTGAACGGGTTCTTCATCTCCATTAGAACATTTTATTTCTAGCTTTTTCATCTGACTCTTTCTTATAGTTCCCATCTCTCTGCTGAAATCTCTATTGTTCATGTTGTCCATGTTTTCCACTAGAGCCTTTAATATATTAATTATAGTTATTTATGATTTAATATATTAATTTACTAGATAACTACAACATCTGAGTCATCTCTGAATTTGGTTCTGTTGTTCTTTGTCTCTTGACAGTGAACTGTTTTCTTCTTGCTTTTTGTGCGCCTTGTAACATTTGATTATCATTTTTTTCATGGGTAGGACAGTAGAGACTGAGATAAATATTATATATGCCTGGAAATGGGCATGCCTCTTTTCTTCTAGGCTGCTAGTGGAGTTATTATAGGCAGGAGTGAGCTAGGGTTGGATTTTGTTGTTGCTATGGTTACCTTCATGTCATCATCTACTTCAAATTCCTCTCATGTTACCTGGTACTTAGAGTGGGAGGAGCTGGATTGCTGGAGTGTTTTCCTCAAAATTCTCGTTCAATCCTCAGCTTTCAGCTTTCCATGTGTGTGTGTCTGCACCTCAGAGGGGGTCTCTCTCCATGTTCTTGCCCCTCCTCCAGCAGTGGAGTTCTGTTGCTTGTTACTAGATGTGCACTAGCCTGGTTGGGTGGAGGGGGGCATGGTGTTCTCTGTTATCCTGGTCCAGCCTCTAAGCAGGCCCTTTGTCTCTGATCTGGGGGAAAGGGCCCGGGTGGGGGAGTTGTTCCCCATCACTGCCCCTCCTCCAGTGATGAGACCTCTAGTGGTCTCAGCATAGGACGATTTCTTTATCCTTCCCCACAGTTAGAGGGGTTTTTTGTCTTTTTCTTTTCCTCTCAGCTACAGTCGGTTTTTACCTTTGCCATTAGGGTGAAAGGGTTTTCTGCTCTTTCCCCAAAGGCTTTAAAATTTTTGTTCCATGTGAGAAAAGGATCTGGCTGAATCTTCATGCCTTTCCTGCTCAGGTGGCCACCCTTCTCCTTCAGGCCTGCACTGCCAAGGGCAGCATACTCTGGTCTCCCATCTTGCCCCCAGTTTTTCTTGTGAATGCCTATAAGAGGTTTGTGGAGAAGAGCTTGCGAGCTCCCATTATACCTGCTCCCAGGCATATATACTTTCATGCTGACTCATACTTGGCTTTCAGTAATTTGTTAAGTTTAGCTGAATTCTTATTATCCACTTGCATTGTGACCTGTCTCTCCTTAGGTTTTCTTTAGGTTTCAGGAAGAGTTTGGCCATGTCTTTGAAAATTATACACACACAATTTTGTCTCAATATATTTCAAATATTTGCAACATACATCATGTACACTTCTAAGTGACTATCATAATGTAAAGAAAGAAATAGCTACTTTGGATATTGCAAGCTACAGTAGTTGTATATTCTCATTAAATCTGTGGGAGTTAAAGAATAATTTGACCATAAAGTGTTCCGAACATTATTCTAAGGTATTTAATTTATTATACTCTGACTTGCTCTGAAAGTTTAAAATGCTTTGATTTTGACTAGCTTTTTTGATGTCTGTTCCATAAATAGAAATGTTTTTTAGAGAAGAAATGTACATCTATAAAATTTTTTTTTGCTACTAATAGGCTTTCAGATACAATTTGAAAGGAATTTAAAGATTTAAAAATATGATTTTAAGGTAGGTGGAATGCTAAGCAATGTACTAACGTGACCTATTATTTTCTTCAGTAAAGATAAATAGTTTCTCATTGTATTTTGTTCAATTATGTAGAATTTAAAATAATTATACTTTCTTCATTTAATTTTATAGTTACAATGGAGAATGGGATCTAGCTCAAAAAGCATTGGATGATATTATATACAGGGCCCAGTTAGAATTATATCCAGAGCCATTGCTGGTAGGTACCTTATTTATGTAAATTTTTTCATTTAAAATTTCTCAATTTAGAAGTATAAGTTGTGAAATAGCCATTTATACTGCATTAATGTATCATTAATACTCAGTGATTTATGCTTCTATTATACTAGGAAAATTTAATACTTGAAAAGATAAGTATAATAAATTTGAAGATTTTGTTAGGCTAACTTCTTAGATAACTGATAGTTTTTTTTAACTTGTAGGAATGTTCTCCTTAACTTGCTAGACCTACATTTATTAATTAGCATTAGGCATTTGGAAATATAATTCAATATTTTCAAATTTTTAATTTCATCACTTACATATTATTTTTAACGATAAGTTTCCTTACTCTGTATTTTGAAAGATTTATATATCATCTTATAAAATACCTTGGAAAAAGTATTCTTTTAAAAAAACCTGTTAAAATTTATTATCTTGTTTATCTAAAAATGTGATAATACATTTGTTAATACCAATCTTAAACTGTATTTCCTTCTTAGGTTGCTAATGCAATAAAGGCTTCATTGCCTCATGGCGCCATGAAATCTAGTAAGGAGGGTACAAGGTGTATTCAAGTTGAAATCACACCAACTTCTTCTAGAATATCAAGAAATGCAGTAACCAGCATGTCAATTAGAGGTCATAGGTGGAAAAGACATGGTAAGAAATAAAAAATTCTGCACATTAGAGAATGTTGATTCTATCACATTTTTCTCTGGACTTACAATGCTATATAACTTTTAGCTTTAGTAAATAGTATCATAATGGCATGAAAGAAAGAGCTATTGGATCATCTTTAACTTCTAATTTGTTATCCATGAGTGACAGGCAATAAGGAAAATAAAGCCCCGTATGTTACATATATGAATGAAATTTATTTAAACATTGTACTGGCTTTTAAATTATATTTCAATAGAGTAGGAGAGTAGGAAAGTGCATCTTAAATTATTCATATATTTTGGGTTTCCATGCACAACTATTTGCAAATATTCCTTAATGTTTCTGATTTCTCAACTAGTTTTTTAGCAGAAAAATTTGCATGTTGAAATAAGACAACTAATAGGGACTTTAACAATTTTCTTCTGGACTTCGTATAAAGAATGCCATAGTTTGATGCAACTCTAGGCATTTGTGTTTTCTGGAAGTTAATTTTCTTCCAAGATTGTTAGTTTGTTTTAATATTTCTTCTTGACTGCTTCATTTTATTATTCAAAAATTCCACTGGAAGTTAATTTTATTCACCATGTCTTTCTCGATGCTTTATTTTTCTCCCTTCTCTTATAATTATTTCTTATTTAATTTCTTATTTTTTTTTTTATTTTATAACTCCCCTCCTACCTAGAAGTCATTGTAGTGGCAAGAATCAGTGTAAGAAGACTACTATCACCTTTCTCGGAAGCTAATCATAGAATAGGAAGCAAAAAGCCTCTTCTTTGCCCTAAGCAAACATACATATTAGGGGTAAAGCAAAATCTATTCTCTGTTTTCTTCTTCCTATAAACTGTGATGAAAATGGCAGTTCCTTTGATATATTTGGTTCCATTTGTCCCTGTGGTCTCTACAGAGGAATGCAAAAGTGAGAATGAGATTATACATGGTGAAATAGAAAGTTGATGATGAGAACAGTAGCCATTGTTCTTTCTCAGGGAATCTAGGAGATATTATGTCAAACGAAAGAATGATGATGGAATTTTCCAGCTTAATCAATGATCATTTTGAGTCTTTTTCTTTTTTAAAGTCGTATGACAATTCTTGAAAGTTCTTTATGAAAGCATAAAAGAGTGGTAATGTTTGTCATTAGCAAGGCAAATTATGCTATTTAAAACATAGAGTCAAATTCTTCAGTACTTTTAATGAAAGTTATGCTACTGAATGGGACTGGGTTACAGGTAGAGAATCATTTAATTAGCTATTGTGGTACGCTAGAGATCATGTTTTCTGTTTTGGCATTAACAGGTGAAAATAGGCACAGAGGCTATGAACCAGACCATATGGGTCATTGTGGCCATGATAGCTCCCAAACTACTGCTATAGGAAATGCAAAAATGAATTTTAATTTCTTTTCCACTTTTCTTTCTTGATATTTAAGTGGACATATTGGGAATTAGGGGGGAAAATATAGGTCCTACAGTTAAAAATGTGAAATATTGAAGTTCAGTTGTATTTGTGCATATGTGTGTGAGAAACAGGTGTGTGTGTGTGACCATGCATGCATTTAACAGAATAAGATGTGTACCCTGCAATTAAATAGAAGATATTTTCCAGAAATAAAAGAATTATTATCAAAAGAGAAGGGACTACTTGAGATATATTGTATCTATTAGATACTTACATATTTTCCAGATTACATTTGGCCATCATTTGAGGAGTTGACACTGTGTCTTAGATCTACAGCATCATTAAAGTATCTTTCCTTATCATTTATCCCCCTACACTTAATTCAGCCTTCACAACTAACACTTGGGCAACTCCTGTATATAACAAAAAAAGTCACAAATGAGGATTTAGAAGAGAATGAGCTATAGCAAGCAAGTTAAGTGCTTGGGGGCAGATACACAATATAGCTTAGTCTTGTTTACCACTTTTCTGTAATGCGAATTCCCAGTGGACTCCAAAATGTTCCTAGTTAAGTTCTTCCTTTACCTCTACATGTAGGTGGCATTGTCCCTTTGAAGAGTAGTCTTGGCTTTCCTTCCTAGAGCAATATTTTTCATTGTTACCCTGTTCTGCTGAATTAAACTTTTCCATTTTCCATCTTTGTGGTTCTCATTCCTACTTGAACACCTTATTAGTGTTCTGGGCCCTCTAGCTGACACTAGCTTCTCATGGGGAAGATAGGTGTCTTTGCTACAGTTCTTACATATATAAACAATTCTTAAGTTATAAATTGAGTTTTTAATTAATTGATATATAAATTATATTTATTATATTCATATATAAATTACAGATATGAATTACAACAAAATTTAATTTATTTATATATTAAATTTTGCAGAAACAGTGCTAAAAGGCTTGTAGATTCCAGGGTGACCCACAAAAGCCTTTTCATCCTATAATGTTTCTGGAACAGAGTACTGTAGACTGTAGATTTAGTTTATGACTGTGTGAAAACACATTAAGAATTTCTTTGTTTGTTCCATCATTCATTCCCCATTACACCTATATCCCTACCACTTCCTTAACCACACCAGCCTTTCTGGGAGCAGGGATTTCTTGCCAGACCCTAAACTGTATCACAGAGTAGGAACATGGAATATGCAACTTTAATAAGCCAGTGATGATGAGGTTTGGGGAAGGAGAAGGGACAAGAATCATGAACTTTAAGAAATATTCTTTTTATTTTTCTCTTGCTTCTTTCTTTGTAACTGCCAGTGCTAAGAAAGAAGAAAGGAATTGGGCTCTTTTTATTGTCGTTGTTGTTACTTTTTTTCCTATTTTTTTATTTATGTCTTTTTTCTTAAAAATGAGATATAATCGACATGTAAAATTATATTAGTTCTAGGTATACAACATAATGATTCAATATAGTGTATATTGTGAAATGATCACAGTAAGTCTAGTTAACATTCATTGTTATACATAGTTACAAATTTTCTTGTGATGAGAACTTTAAGATTTACATTCTTAGCAACTTTCAAATATAAAATAATTTTAAAAAACACACAAAAAATAGTTTTATTAACTATAGACACCACGCTGTACATTTATATTACATTGCCAGCATTTACCAATTTGTAAGTGGAAGTTTGTACCTGTTGACCATTTTCACCCATCTTCTCCTCCAGCCCTGCCCTCTACCCAACACAGCAACCACCAGTCTGTTCTCTATCTCTGAATTTTTTGTTTGTTTGTTTAGATTCCACATATAAGTGAGAGCTTACAGTATTTGTCTTTCGTTATCTGACTTATTTCACTTAGCATAATTCCTTCAAGGTCTATCCATGTTGTCACAAATGATAGGAATTACTTCTTTTTTATGGCGGAATAATATTTCATTATATATACACTACATTTTCTTTAACCATTCGTCCATTGATGGACATTTAGGTTGCTTCCATATTTGTTGCCTCTCTCCTTTTTTCTTTTTCCAGCCTGTTTGGGGAGAAGAGGGAGAGGAGTAAAAGAGGTTTTCCCATGGAAGTAGCCACACAGAATTTTCTATTCTTACTTTTTTTCTTTTTATATCCCTTTATCATTAAGGAATATAGATATTTAAGCTATGTGAACATATTGATGTGTTTGCATATCTGAGTGAACCAAAAATTATACATGCAAATAAATACATTAAATGGGAGCAATAAATCACATTTATTCTTTTCTCTTATTTGTAATAGAAAAATCTCTTTATCTTTACAGCCAAAACTATTTTAAAAATTAATTTGAGATAGTTTTAATTACATTAAAAATTTTTTTGAGCTCTCTGGAATGTATTTCAGGATTCTCTGAAGCTTCACAGATCTACCATCCTTTTTTAAAGTTAAGAACACAGCTTATATTCTAATGGAAAATATTCTTTTGGAAGATAAAAAATTACTTTCACTAACATTTCTACACATCAGAACATATATCCCTTGTTGTGGTCTTATTATTCAATAACAATCCAAATTTCTAGAATTGTATTTTGACCAGTGCTATTATTCGCTTGGCCCTAATTTAATAGACTTTATTTTTTTTTAGAGAAGTTTTCAGTTCACAGCAAAACTGAGTGGAAAGTAGAGAGAGTTCCCATAAATCCTCTGGATGCTCCCCAACCCCAGCATATCTTCCCCCACTCTCAGCATTGCACACCAGAGAGATACATCTATAAGGCCCTGCAATTTTGATTTCGACCTGACAGTGCATTCTCATATTGGCTAAATAGGGTGATTATCAAAGAAAGGCTGGTTTCAACCGACGTATTATTTTGGAGAGACATATTTGACAACTAGTATATTTGCCTGATTTCCCCCACTTTTCACTTAATTTATTGACTTTATAATTCTGTTAATATATATGTTTGGAGAGTAAAATTACAATGTAGATTTACTGCTTTTAACTTTTAAGAGTCATAATTTCAGAATTAATAGCTTTTTATATATTATTAATTTGTTTAAGCATATTGCTTCACTTAGTGTGTAATTTTTAAACCTAGATTTTCAAGCAATGTACAGATTGAGGTCTATTTAGAACTCATAATTTGAAAGTAAAATACAACTAGAGAAGGATAATAATGGAATAAACATTAAAAATGATTAAATATGATAGGAGAAGAATGAGTAGATTATGACCATAACAAGAATCAAAATGGAAATTCCAATAAGAAAAATAAGAAAAAACAGTGCAATAGTTTTTTTAATTAGTTAAAATGCAGTTTTATTTTTTAAAATATTTCCTTAAAAAAAGAAATAGCTAAAAGGAAAACAAAGTATTTTTTACAATTATGCTTCAGTTCTCTAGTCATTCTTAAGTGTTGCTTCTAAAGCTACCTTCATTACCTACCCTATAAGCTAGAAGAGCCCTTTTTCTTAAATTCCTGTATAATTCTTACCACTTTGATTCTTTCATATATCTGTACTTATTTTCCATTCCCTCTCTTCTTCCAGAGCAAATTTAATTGCTACTCTTTTGTCTGTTTCCCTACCCCTACTAGCACCATGACTCACTCTTCCACTTTTAAAAAA